TTGCAATTCCTGTCTTCCCTAAAATGTATAAAACCAAACTGTAACCCAACTGCCCTGTGCTCACTTTCTCAGGACCTCCTGAGATTGTTTCCCTGGGCTGCAGTCACTCACTGGCTCAGAATAAGCCTCTTTAAATTATTTTACAGAGTATTGTTTTTTCCATTAACAGAGTCAGCAGGAAACAAGAGAAGTAAAAGTCTTTGCCCTCTTGAAGCTTACTTCTAGATGGACAATAAACATATACACATTTACATATGTATATATGTTTATATTACACATGCACATATGAAGTATGTGAGAGGTGATATATGACACAGAGAAAAATAAAGCAGGAAAGGGACAGAAGGGACTGGGGTGTCAATTTTAAAAGAGCCATCAGGGTAGGTAACAGTCAAGCAAAAACATGAAGGAAGAGAAGAAGCAAGCTCCAAGGTTATTGGCAGGAAAAAGGTTCCTAGCATGTTCAAGGAACAAGGAGGCTAATGTGGTTGGAGTCAAGCAAACAAGAGGGAGAAGGAAATGAGAAAAGCTATGTAGGACTTCCGTGTTTATTCTGAATCAGATTGGAAGCTACTAAGAGGGTTCTGAACAGAGTAAGGACAGAATACTCTATACATGTTTAACAGGCTCACTGACTGCTGTGTTGAAGAGAGATGCAGCGGCGAAGAATCCAGTCAGCAGACTGCTAAAATAATCCGGATTGGGGGTGTCTGTTTGTGGTTTGGGCCAGGATGGCTACAGTGGCAGTGGTAAGAAGTGGTCAGATTATTAGATCCTGAAGGCAGAGTCAAGGGCATCATTTGCTGAGAGACAGGATGTGGTTTGTGAGAGAAAGTGACAAGTCACAAAAGACAAATATTTTCGGCCTGAATAAGCGAGGGGTGGGTTTGCCATTAACTGACATGGCAAAACTTTGGGTGGGGGTAGGGGGAGCATTTCTGGACTGTTAAGTTGAAGATGTCTGTCAAGTAGGCAAATATGGATGAACCTAATATTCTCACTTAGCATATAGATGGAATCCAGAAGGTAGTGAATATAGCACATAAACAGGAGAGAAGAGGTCCATGGACTAAGCCCAGGGACACTTTAAGATATAAAGAGAATTCTGTAAGGAGAGAAGAAAATAAGTAGAGTCCAATGTTCTAGAAGTAGAAAAAGTGCTCCAAGGAGGAAGGAGCGATCAACTATGTCAAATAAAGTGGGAACTTCGAATTGACCACTGGATTTAACCATGGTGACCTTAGACAAAAGGAATTTCAATGGAGGGGTGGGGGTGGGAAGTAAAAGCCTAACTGGAGAGGTTTCAAGGAAGAATGGAGGACCTGGAGTACAAATAGCCTTTGTAAGGAATTTTACCATGAAAGGGAACAGACAAATGGGGTGGTAGCTTAGAGTAGAAGTGAGATCTAGAGGGAACATTATAAGATGGAGAAATAACACAGTGGTTAAAAAAACAGGCTCTACTCCACTTCAGGGAGAGGAGACATATCTCTTCAGTCCTTAAGCGGGGACTGCCCATAGTGACTTCCTTCCAAAGGTACAGTATGAAAAGGGGGGAACTAGAGTAATTTTACAGTGTGGATATCTGACAGACACTACCTCAGGCATGGTTAACATCAACCATGACAACTCATGTAAATACTATGTACCCTTGATATGATGTATGAAAATGGCACTTCACCTCTATGGTCTCCCTCCCAAAAATACATAACCTCAGTCTAATCATGAGAAAAACACTAGACAAATACCACTTGAGGAACATTCTACAAAATAGTAGACAAGTACTAACCAGTATTCCTCAAAACTTCAGGGACATTAAAAACAAGAAAAGTCTGAGAAACTATTGAAACCACACTTTATAAAGTAATAAAGAGGTGCAAGGTGAGAAATGTGATAGGGGCCTAAACTCTTCAAAGGCACAGGCATAGTTAAAAATAATAACTGGGTGCAGAGTATATGCAAAGGATGCAGAATATATGGGAACTCTTCATACGATCTTCTAAATTTTTCTGTGAAGCTAAAACTGTTCTAAAAAATAAAGTCTACTTAAAATTTAAAAATAAAGAAAAGAAAGAATATAGGCTCTGGAGTCTTACCATCGGGTTAGAATCCTTGTCTGTCACTTAATAGACTGTGACTCCAGGCAAATTACTTAGATTCTCTGAGAATCAGTTTCCCTATCTACAAAATGGAAATAGGAAGAATACCTACCTCATGAATTTTTAGTATAAGTAAATGAGATAATCCAGGTAAAATATTTAGCACAGTGTCTGGCCAATAGTAAGCACTCAATAGGTGACAGCTTTATTATTATTATTATTACTACTATTATTTTAAATCTTTATTGAATATTCAAATGCACATTTAATATGATTTTCCATTTAACTTGTTTTACAGCAATTAATAATAATTTATATGATAATTTCCTTTCCTTTTTTAAGAGGAAGAAAATTGAAGCCTATTACACAGTATCTGTAAAAAGGATTTCTCTCTTAGTGTATTATAAGTGTTGAGAGGTTTTACGGCATCAGCTGCTCTAAGCAATTTAATTTAAATAGCAATCTATGGTAATGTAATGAAATGAGTTGTCACCAAAGGTTCTGTATATACATTATCATGGCTGTAAGGTAAATAACATTTTCCAACTTGCGCTCCTTTGGGCTTCACTATCAAGCCATATAAAGTCATCAATGTTAACCAGAGAATATATTATCTTGTAACTATCCTATTTTTAATAACAATACTTGACAAAAGTGATTTGAAGAGTAATATGTAGAATATGTTTAAAGATAAAAAGAACTAAGTACCGAAAGGATGTAGTAAAATAACTGTTATATTAAGAAGCTATAAAGAAGAGAATTCGGCCTAAGTGATGGCCGAATCAGGCTGTGCATCAGTCATTCGCAAGCTCTGCGAAAAAAGAAAGATTAGAAAAAAATCAAATCTAATCTACTAAATCGGCAGCTCTAGGAGTGGTGCCTGGACATCTGTATGTTTAAAAGACTGCACAAGTGACTTCAGTTTGTGAAGAACTGACTTACATTATCCTGTACACACTGACCATGTCATACAGGCTGCTGTATGATCTGCCTTTGTTTGAGCTGCCACTTCCAGTTGTGTAAACTTTGGCAAGTTACTTAACCGATTCGTACCACAGTTTCCTCACCTGTTAAAACACTGGTGATGATAACAGCACCTGATTCATAGCGTGATTAGAGGGATTACATGAGACAACTCACGTAAAGCATCAATACCTGGATTTCAACGCTATTGAGAGAGAAAGACAGACAGAGAGAAAGAATATCCAGCAACACTGGGCTGGACTTCCTGAAGAGTAGCAGTGACCAGGGACTGAGTGCTGACTGTCCTTTTAGATGGGACATATGTCCTTCCATTTTCATAGTCTCTAACCTGCTTCACTCATTTATGACATCAATCTGGCCTCATTCACTACCTGTGGATTGGATTAAAAACGTTTTTCTTTCACAAATTCAGCAACTGCAGGAAATCTATGGGTGTAAATACTGCCCATGCCATGATCAATCTCCAAAAGATCTGGTGGGCAAGAGATCTTATCCCTTAAATGCATACTGCGAATCTCTATGTTTTCTAGAAATTAGGGTCAAATACGCTTTTCAGAGATTTTTATTTAAGACCCATAATTTAAAACTACAGAATTTAAAAAAATATAAACAATTTTTACATAATTAGAAGCCCAATGCCTCAATTCCAGAAAGTGTGACCATACTGTTCATCAGCAACAAAGAAAATTTTCTCATAGGTCTTCTGCTATTCTTGGTAAGAAAAATCATTATTTCAGGTCATTAAAGCTAAGTTGTTTTGATATGTTATTTTCAATGAACATTAAATGTGACATCATGGAGTATCAAATCTAACTAAAAATGCCAGTACTTAACGAAACAAAGATTTTTGTCTGAATTATTTCTGATGACACTTCCAACAGGCACTTGCTCAACTTTCCAATGTCTGCATAAAATGAAGTTTTGAAGCCAATTTTCTAGATTAAAATAAAAAGCCATTCTTTAGCATACATCTTCATTCCACTAACTTGAGTAAATAAAGAAGATATGTGTAATTAAGAAAATTAGGAGCCGCGTTAATCACAAGTAGTATTTTACTGTAGCATTTCGCTTGAAATTAATTAAGTTGGGGATGCATTGTAAACACCAAAGGATCAATACCTTGAAGTTCTAAACATGTTTTAATATGAAAATTCTGGCGTGATTTTGCAATGACAAGACGTATATTGCGAACCGAGTAAGGCCAGAATCGTTTACAAACATAAGATGCTATCACGCGGGTTGTCTTTCTCAACGCTCACTTGATGTAGCGATACCCAAAGTTTCTTTGAAAAAGAAGGGGGAGCTAGTGTCTGGGTCTCAGGGAGTCTTTGTGTCCTTCCCGGGGAGAGGAAGGGGCGGATTCCCCCGTCGGAACCTCGTGGAGGCTGCGCCAGCCCCAGCTGCCCAGGGCGGCGCCGAGCGCGCCCGAGCGCGGGGAGCCCCCCGCCGCCGCCGTCCGCCCGCCCCGCGCGTGCTCCGCGGGCCGCACTCACCCAGGCCGCGCCAGCCCAGCGCGCCGTCGCAGCTGTCCAGGACCGCGCACAGCTCGCCCAGCAGCGTGGGCGGCAGGTCGAACAGGAGCGTGTGCGCCGAGAGCGCGCCGCGGGCCCCGCCGCTCCCCGCCATGGCGCGGCTGCCGAGCGCGGGGACGGGCGCGAGGGGAATGCGCAGCCCAGGCCTCAGCGTCCGCGGAGGGCCGTTACACAACCGCGGAAATCCTGCCGCCCCGACGGCTGCCAGGACCTCGGAACACGCCTGTGCTCGGGCCCTGGAAGGGCGGCGCCCGCGTGACGCAGCGCCGCTCTCCAGAGAGGCCCGCGCGGACACCCGGGGTCTCCCCGCCGCGGGCTCACCCTTGCTGAGGGCTTTCTGCTCGCAACAGGCCTCTCGTTCCTCTGGGTTGGGGACGCGGCTGAAGAGGCCAAGCAAAGAGCGAGCGCGGCGGGAAGACCAGTGGGCGCCGACGCGGAGATCTATCGTAACCTCCTTCAAAAGTTTAGTTCGTTTTATCCTGTCAGAAAAGAGACACAGGTTCATTGAGGAACGCTTGGAAAACCCAGAAAAACTGGAAGAACACTAATCACTCATAACCCCATTCAGTCGACGACAGTCACTCTAAACGTTTGGCACATTTCCCTCCCCAGTTTTACTGAATTAAAACGGATGAAAATGTGCAAATATGGGGTGATTATTGGAAAAGATATAGATATCAACAACAGGAAAGCAAAAGAGAGACCAAATCGGAGTAAAATTATGTTCATCGTCTTCACGAGGCGGCCCCTCCTCCATGCCGTTGTTTGGTTTTGTGACATTCTCCTGTCCCTGGGCTTTTCTGATGAAACATTGTTGGACCAATTCTTCCTTCCTCAAAACGCTTCACAGAATCTTCCTTTTACTTTCAACGCGGAGTTTAGGTAAAATTGTTTTGAAGTCTTCTGCCGTTTATACGTTAATATCCCACCGTAGGCGTGATACAGATGCCACTGACAAAACAGGAGACGCTTCGAAAGCGGTGAGAAAAATCTCAACCTTAATGACTGGAAGAGCGGACCTTGGCCCTCAATTGAAAAATGCCAGCACCTATTTGAAACCGTTCGGGTTGTAGTCTTTGAGAACAGCGCCCCCTAGAGACCACCAGTGATGACACATTGTCACTTAGAACCCCTACCTGAATTTCTGTCATTCTCAGTGCTCCGTAAAAACATACCTGAAAATTGGTAAAGCCAATACTGTTTGGGTATGAGTTTCGATATCCCTTTGTTGAAATGACTGAGGTCTTATTGTCAGTCTGTACAAGCATACGAAGCTTTGTATCTCTTAACGGGACTGCCTGACTGTGCTGAGCAACAGGGGCAAGATGCCTTGAGTATTTGCTAGTTCTTGAATTACTGCGGCAGGGAGGAAATGCGCAGAGGAACCAGGGAAATCACTGTGGATGGGGAAAGCTGTCAGAAAGGCCTACTTTGCTAGATCTTTTAATTTACCAGGAAGCAAGGATCTTATGTGAAAGCTAGATTATGTGAAATCTGTATTTTCAGTATTGGCAATTATTATCAGACCATTCCTAAAACTGCCTTTGAGTTTTGTATCCTCAGGTTACTCGCTACTCTTCACTGTTGCTGTCATCATCCACTGTTCTCCCCACCCCCATTCCTCCTACTCATTTTTAGGCTCTCCAGCTCCTGGCTCACTGTCACTCTCTCCAATACTCATCCTGTCTTAGTTCTTGGTGATTTAAAATATATGCAGAATAAATGATTTACTTTCCAATACCCTAGCCTCTCAGTTCCTTGACTCCTCTCGTCCAGTGACCTTGTGCTCCACTATACACTCCATCTCAGCCACTCACTACCACCATCATCTCCTGGAACTTGTCATTATCAATAACTGAATCCTATCCATAATTTCTATTTCATGAATCCACTATCTGGCCAAACCTCCTGTCCTTCTAGCACATTCCCTATAGTACTCTGACCCCAACAATCCTTCCCCCTCACCAGGATATCTAATCCAGGAATTGCTGCTTCTTCTCTGGCTTCATCCTCTTGATGTCTTCACTTTTCTCCTTATCTATAAAGTCCACAGTCAATGATTATACTCACTCTCTTGCATGTGCTCTCTATTCCCTTGCTTCTCTTTCACTTTGTTGATCTCTCTTGGCAAATCTATCACCCTGATTGAATCCAGTTTTCCAATTTTGGGATCTACACCCATGCATCTGAGTGTAGCTGGGGGGAAAAAACCCCAAATCCTGTTAATTGGACTCAATTTAACATCAAGGTCATGACTCTCAGGTGGGTCCTTTATGCTGCCAAGTGAGCATACTGTACACCTTTAGTCCATTTGTTCTTCTGGTCTCCTTGAAAACTGTGTTATGCTTTCTCTTTTCTTCTCAACTCCCATCACCTTCTCCCCCATCTTCATGCTTTGCCAATGACCTTGAGAATATTTATTGAGAATACTGATGCATCAGGAAAAAGCTTCCACAGAATCTTACTACCACATTGCCCTATCTACTAGCATCTGTACCAACATATGCCCTTTTTCCCTTTTCCACAGATTAATTGTCTAGGCTCCTCTCTAAGCCTGATCCCTTCACTTGTGTACTGGGTCCTATCTCCTGCCCCCTATTCAAAGGCATCGAAAGCACTTGTTTTCCCTGTTCTCTGCTACATTGCCAATTTTCCACTCTTTACTGGCTCAGTTCCATTAGTGTACAAATATGATGTTATTACTTCCACCTTAAAACAAGCAAAAATTATTTGACTCCACTTCCCCCTTCCATCTACCACCCCAATTCTTTGCTTCCCTTTGCAGTAAAGAGTTGAATAGTCTCACTGTCTCTAGTTTTCTCCTATCTTCTCTTAATTCCACTCTAATTAGAGCCACCCCTCCCACCTTACTCCATTAAAACTGCTGTCTTCAGGGTCACCCAGGTCCACATCACTGTTAAATAAAATAGTCAGTTTTCAGTCTTCATCTTACTTGACCTATTGGGAGTTGTTGACTGGGTTGATCACTTCCTCCTTCTTGGACACTTTCTTCATTTGACTTCTAAGACACCAAGTTCTCTTACATTTTTCACTTACCTCTCTGGTCACCCCTCAAATTCCTCTACTGTTCCTGCTCTTCTCCCTGAACTCTTAATGTCGGAGGGCTCCAGGGCTCAATCCATTGTTCTTTATCTACACCTGCTGCCTTGGTGATATAAATCAGTCAAGATTTTAAATACCATCTATATCCACAGACTACCAAATTTATATGTCTAGCCCAGACTTCTTTCTTGAATTCCAGAGTCATGTCCAAAATTGAATTCTTCATCATGCCTCCTGAACCTGCTCTTCCCACATTCCCATGTGCCTAGGTTAACAGAAACTCCATCCTTCTAGTAGCTTAAACTAAAAATATACAGTCATCCTTGACTCCTCTGTTTCTTCACAGCCCACATTCAATCGCCAGCAAATCCTGTTGGGTCTGTTCAAAGTATGTCTAGAATCTGACCAATTTTCCCATCTTCATTGCTGCCATTCTGCTTTGAGCCACTATCCTATCTTGTCTGGATCACTGTAGTAGCCTCCTAACTAAAAGTAGCATCCACTCTTGCTTCCTACAGATTTGCCTCAATACTGCAGCCAAATTGACCCTTTTAAATCATATCTGATTATGTCTCTCTTCTGTTTAGAAGCCAGCAACGGCTGCTAGTTTCAGTTAAAAGTCAAACTCTTTATATGATCTGCATGCTACCTCCCCTTCCCACTCCACTTCTTTACCTGTGATCTTGTTTCCTGTTCATTCTGCTTTAGCTGCACTGTCTCCTTGCTGGTCCTTGAACACACCAGGGAGAGTTCCACATTGGAGGCTTTACACTTGCTCTTCCCCTGCCTGGTATGCTCTTCCCACATGGCTAAAGTCTACTCTGACCTCTATATTTAACATTGCAGTGGTTCATGCACTCAGATTTGGGCTGGGATGTGACTCAAATCGGCCCAACAATATATGGCTTGGGGGAATCATGTCTCATTCAGATAACATTCTTTAATATTTGAATAGGAACATGTAGCAGGTCTGGCTATCTCTGAGAACCATTTTACAACCACATAGAGATCAATATTAAAATGAAACGAGCCCCGGGAATGGTTTAGTGAGAGGAAGAACCATGTCCTTGATAATGTCATTGAGCAGTTCATTCGTTCTATACCTGGAGCCTGTACTGCTTGTGGACTCATAATTATAATATGTGGGATAAACTTTTTTAAGCCAGGAATCTTGTTATTTGCAGCCAAATGCATCCTAGCTGACACACTGAGCAGATATTTGGTAATACTCTTTGACTTGTTGAATGCCTGTAAAACCTGTGAAAAACATCTAAACCCTGTCTAAGGCTGGAGTTCAAATGTATACAACTATATCTGATGGGACGTGAGATGGGCATGGAGATTGGATTGCAGAGAGAGACAACTGAGTGCCTGAAAGAAAATAAATATTGGTAAAGAATGATTCCGGCAGCATGGTGCAAACAGTCTGAAGTTTTAGATGTATGTGAAACTGTAGTAGAATCCATACAGACCCAGACCCTTAAACCCCAACCTACCTACCTACTTCCAGCGTACATGTTTTCTGGAAAAGAAAAGGCTATGGTTAAATCACAAAACTGTTACACTATGTGACCTAGCCCTTTGCTATGGGATCCTCTCCAAATTTTGGGAAGAAGATAGTGTTTCTGTCCCAGCTGGAAGGAAGAGAGTAGTGAACCACAAAGATTAACAAGTGAAGGTGAAGGAAACCCTAAGGGCCAGTGACAATGACACAGTAATATCAATGGCCAAGCCCTAGCTAAGCACAAGCAGCAAAGCCTCAGAAGTCTAGAAACAGGTGAGGGAGAAACAAGTGTGGCAAACAACAGCTCTTAATATATGTGAAATAACTATCTTGGTAGTAGCTATTTATACAGCGTCACTTAGGGTGAATATTCAAAGGACACCCAGGCCTGTGGGACCTAGAATATTTTCTGGTTTTGGAAGTAATTTTCAAAACAAAGATTACTAAATCTTTATCCCACCTTTGAGCCTCTTCGCATCTTTGAGCTTTCCCTTAGAGGGTCATGGGTAATTTGGGGTTCAGGGATAGAGTAAAGATTAGGAATGGGGTGAAGACATTTGTAATACTCATT